AATTTTTTTTTTTTTTTTTTTTTTTGCCATTGTATTTTAAATAACATAGATTTTATATAGGTCTACTTTAATATTTTATAAAGATTTTGGAGAATAATGACTCCAGAGCTCTGAACAGCAGTGTATGTATAATGTTTTTTTTTATAAGTAATAAAGGATGCATTAAATTGATTACAGCATTACATTTATGCCTTTTACATTTATAAAAGTGATTAAAAATGTATTTATATGTTAAATAAATGCTGTTATTTGGAACTTTCTATTCATCAAAGAATTCTGAAATAAATGTATCATGTTTTCCACAAAAAATATAAAGCAGCACATCTGTTTTCAACATTGATAATAATAAGAAATGTTTCTTGAGTACCAAATCAGCACATTAGAATGATTTCTGAAGACTGGAGTAATGGCTGCCTGCTAACAATTAAGCTTCGCTGTCACAGGAATACATTGCATTTTAAAATATAGTAAGATAGAAAACAGTTCCTTTAAATTGTAATAATATTTCACAATTTTACTGTTTTTACTGTATTTTTATCAAATAAATGTAGCCTTGGTGATCATAAAAGACTTCTTTCAAAAGCATTAAAAAAGTTTTAAAACTGTAGTGTAGATCTTTACATTCGTAAAAAGTTCAGTTTTTTTTTTGTTTGAGATTGTACCAGCAGAAAAAATGAGAAATTGATTGTTTAATGACTCTGTCTGTGTCTCAGGTGGTGGTAATGTGCGCATTGAGAGTGTGAAGCTGGGCTTCAGAGAAAAAGCCCATTCGAAGGTGGGCTCCCTGGAAAATGCCCACCATATACCTGGAGGAGGACATGTACAGGTGAGTGCACAAAAGCAGATGTTCGTACTTACCCATCCCACATCATACATGAAGACCGTCTCCAACTTCCTGTTTCCTGCTTCCTAAGATCGAAAGCCATAAGATGATATACCGTGACACGGCTAAAGCACGCGTGGATCACGGAGCGGAGATTGTGATCGAGGCGCTCAGGCTGTCGGGCGGCACCTCCCCTCACCGGCACAGCCACATGTCCTCGTCTGGAAGCCTCAACATGCTCGAGTCGCCACAGCTGGCCACGCTGGCCGAGGATGTGACCGCCGCCCTTGCCAAACAAGGCTTGTGAATCCCCCCGAAACGTCTCTGTTCGACTTTCCCCTCCTCTCAGTCTCTAGTAGTCCCCATCAGTAGTGTCACAGTTCACCTTTCCTCCCTCTGGTATTTATGGAAGACTACAGATTCACTTCCCATATTCACACTTCCCTCTTCATCAACCAACAATCTTGCAGAGCCCTGTTGTGACTATCTGAATTGGAAAAATTTGGATTTTTTTGTTGTTCATTTTAATGAATAATGACTTAGCTAGAGAGGTACCAGTGCTTTTTATTACCCATGTTACATGTGACATTTTATGGTTGTGTACAGACAGTGACCTCAAATGCTGGTTTAGGGTCAGCGTCAGGTGTGTTTCCTAAAAGTCGGTCGATCAGAATTTTTTATATTCGGGAATGTGGCGCGACGATCTCATGCTGCACGTGTTGTTTTGCCCATTCAGTGCATGGACTCTAAAACATCTCAACTGCGAGTCACATACGATCAAACACGATATACACTATAAGGGAATATATTTATAAATATGCCAGCTCTTCGTCTCAACATCTCATGCTCAATCAAAAAAAAAAAAAAGAAAAGATTACTCCTTAGATAACTTATACCTGTACAATTGCATTAAAAAAAACCTAGATAGTATGACGAGCATGTATTCTAGTACACAAAAAGAGGCTATTTTCTATCTCAAGGGATTTTAGTAAGTTATTTGCTGAAACACTGAATAAAAAGAACACATCATGTTTTGTAGATACTAGCGACGATGTTTAGCTTGTACATTATTTCGGATGACTGCCCACACCTCTGCCTTCGCAGTAACCGTTGCTTTCGTGGATCTTTGTCGGTACACAGTTTAAGCAGATTTGTGCGGCGACTTACACAAAACAATGATATTACGGTTACGCAAAGACATTCAAGGGCTCCAGGTATACATGAATCATGTAAGATCTGCTCGGATTTGCTCAGTCTTGAAATGTGAACCGTACCGCCATTTTTCAGAGTCGAGATGGGACGGATCTGTCTGAGCAAGATGGGTGGTGCTGCGGCCCTCCTTGGGACTCTGTCGGTGTGTTAGGCCCTGTGTTTGGTTGCTGATTCCTGCTTGGATGCTTAGTTTTCTTTCTTAGGAAGTGGAAAAAGAAAAACACAAAACGAAACTTTAAGAAGGTTACTCACTCCGCTTGCATCTGTTTGAACACAGTACTCCAGTATATTTTTTCTCGTCTTTTGTGGTTCTCCCCTGCCCCTTTTCCTCTAGAACAGCTGTCATTCGTAGGCTTCTGTGTTTTCCTGGCCCCTCTGAGCCTTACCCAGCCTTTCCCTGATTCCCTCAGCTGCTGTAAATGTATTTAAACGGTCACATAGATGTACGCAGTTTTTCTCCTGTTGGTATGATACGGATTATAAATTCCCTTAACAGTTATGACAATAAAAATACAGAAAATGAACAAAATATTAGTGTGATCTATTTTTTTTTTTTTGTGCTTGTGAAATGTGTAATGACCTATAGTTATGGTATTATTGCCTCCTTACAGGTAAAAAAAAAAAAAGCAACAGTTACAGTATAAGCTGTGCATTATAGTGATTTTAGAAAAGGTAAGTGTGAATTAAAGTGTCCAGGACAAAAAAATGGCTCCTTAGCCATGCTTTAAAAAAACCTGATGAAATTGTTCATCAGTCTCACTGTAAATTTAATTGCCATTTTACAACATTTCATCATTAATAATTTGTTAATTTGTTGCAGGCCTCATGTTGTGAACATGTTGTGTTTAATAGATTTCTGTTGAAAGATTATGACTTTTTCTTAGTTTGTCTGAATGGACAGCACCTGAGTTAAATATATGAGTGTCACAGCAAAGGTTATTAATATTTAGGACCATGTGATATTTCAGTTTTTTCTTTTTTAATAAATCTGCAAAAATGTCAACAATTCTGTGTTTTTCTGTCAATATGGGGTGCTGTGTGTACATTAATGAGGAAAAAAAATTAACTTAAATGATTTTAGCAAATGGCTGCAATATAACAAAGAGTGAAAAATTGAAGGGGGTCTGAATACTTTCCGTACCCACTGTATATATACTGTATATATATAATTTTACAGAGCAAAAGTAAGATTACATTACTAATATTTATGCCTGTCTTAATATCTTTGCTTTTATCAATGTTAAACCACTGAGCTTTTATTTTGATGAAAAAGTGCAGGGAAACCTTCAACCTTCTCTTTAGTTGAGAACAGATTTATAAACGGATGATGGTTGGCTTGTATTGCATTTTAAATGCAGGTCACAAGGCCAAAATGTGACAGGTTTGCATCTTTGAATTTCTTAGCAGTTGACCCGATTAACTTTCTTGATACACATTTCTGGTTTTATTTTAAACAACTTTTCTTTTCTTTTTCCTTATCCAGTCAATTCCTGATAAATAAAATCTGCATTTTTTTTTCTTGTTTAATATCCTCTTTCACTCCGTTACAATAGATTATGGAAGTAAAATGGGTAGTGAATACTGTTTCATGTCGGCTTTAAATCCCCAGCGCCACAAAGTCAACTACTGCTAAGCTATTTAAATGATCAATCTTGTTTACCTACCTGTTCCACTTGCCTTACTGCCTTGTGTGCTGAGTATGAGAACATTAATCACAACAAGGCAGATAATTTGTGAAAAGTTTATTATGAGAATTGACAGAGGCAACAAATAAATTAAGACTCTGGGGAAAGGGAAGGAGGTTTTGCAGCCAGTCTATTAATGGCAGTATATTTAGCACCTTTGACTTTGTGATCCAGACAGTGAGGGGTCAAGGGGGGTGGTTTATATTTTTGTGTAACTATGATGTCCCCCCCACACCCCTCACAACCGTTCCACTACGGAGAGGCTTGTCCCGGCATGAACAACACCAAGAAAATTAGCTGTGAAAAAATATCAATGGCTTCCAAGAACAGACAAAAGAAATAGGAAACACAAATAACAAAATAACTGTTTATGACTAACATCCGTGTCCCTTTCATCCATTTCTGAGTTGGTTTTGGAAATATTGTGTGGATGTCCTGACATCATGGAATCTGGAGAAACGCTTCAGTTTCCTCACAACTCTTACACAGACATGATGTGTTTGACGAAAGCTGTTCAGAATGGAGAGATTGAAAAAAAGTCCAAGTGGGATTAGAATTACAGGACAACAAATAAACATTATGTATATGAATCAGCCTGCCATTAAAACATTTTACTGTAATAAATGTTCAGTGAGACAAAGAAAGGATCATAACTGACCCTCATAGTTCACACAGCCATTTTCATCCTCCTGGCCTTGCATGAGAGCATCGATCTCAGTTTCATTCATTTTCTCACCTGTAGGAGAAGAGAGGAACATGGGTTGTTCAGGTCATTAAATAGATGGAAAACTGATGCTTGTCATAAAATGCATTTATAGGTTATGCGAGAGGATCTATGATTTAGTCTTAAGTATCAATGAGCTGTTTGTGGGGAAACAAGATTATAAACAATTATTTTTTTGAATTTTCACTTTCGTTTTTACTGTGATAATTTTGAATAAACAAAGTCTTTACTTTCAAATTTCATAATAAAATCATTTCTAGCATGAAAAAAATTATGTTGAAAGATACTGTACAAATTGTGAATACATTTTAAATAAATTTGAATAAATCTCCTAATCCTGTCAAAAAAAATGTCTGAAAATTGTTTGAAATCTATAGAGGTAATTTTCCCAAAATGTTTTATGACAGCCACCGTTTAAAGCTATTATAGCTTGACAACAGACTTGATTAGAAGCATAATATTAATGGTTCTCAACTACACTGAAAAAAATGGTAGCATCTAAATTAACTGGTTTATTCAATTCAAAAACACTTTTGGCCCCTTACCCAGTGTTGACAAGACAATACGCAACTCAGCACCCATTACAGTTCCGTTGCCCTCCTTATCGAATACACGCAGACCCTCAACATAGTCGTCGTATGTTGCCTTGTTTGGGCTGTTGACCACAAACTGCAGCATGGGCAGGAAACCCTCAAAGTCGACTCTCTTGTTTGCCATTTCTGTAAACGAGGTCAAAAGTTAATGGAGGGGTCATAGAGGGCAGATGTAGTGAAACAATGCACTACAAACACCTGTCACCACAGCAACCTTCAACCAATTAAAGTTAAAGAAACGCATCTGAAATATGTCATGGTGAAAGCTCCTGAGAGTGCTGATGTTGACTAAAGGTACTTTTGGAAAAGCTAATTAAAAGTTTAAAGAAAAGGAAAAACAAATCCGCTTACCATCAGCTGTAGGGTTGCCCAGGATCTTTGTAACCTCTTTGTTGGTTGGGTTCTGTCCCAGTGCACGCATGATATCTGCAATCTGGTTGTAGGCTACTTTGCTGTCACCAACTCTGTCGAAAAGTCCGAAGGCCTCCCTGTAATCTGGAATTGTGAAGAGAGTATTTTAGTTAAAGGTGAAGTGTGTCATTTCCAGTGTTGGGCAGTAACTAGTTACTGTAATAATATTTCTCTTTGCAGTAACTAGTAGTGTAACTAATTACTAATAAGATTTTAGTAATAATATTACAGTTACCATCCATAAAACAGCTAGTTACTTAGTTACTTTTGATGCCTCAACCCCTACTGATTTGAAATCCAACAATCCAATAATTCCTAGATTTATTTTCAAATTTTCACGACTCACACAGGCACATGAAGTCACCAGTGCATCAGGATAGCTTGGAGTATGAAAAAGGTTTAACAGGTTCAATTACATGGCTTGCCCACCCACATCCCTCTGATCCTCATATAAATTATATTACTATAATTAAAAATCTTATGAACTTATGTGATTTCTTTTGATAAAATACTTAATAAAATGTAATCATATTTGGGTAACAGAGAAATTATAGCTACAATTAGCTTCAAGCTACACATGACATTTAATACAACACTTTTTCTTAAAAGTCACCATCAATCACCATTGAGTGTTTGTAAAAACTTCGGACTGCGATCCAATGTAGATTTTGGTCAAATGATGAGGTAGAAATATATTATTAGTAACATTTTAGAATAATTTTATGGGGAAGATACACAATCGCAACTTCTGTGGGGTGTGAAGGAAAAGTAATGTAACTAGTAGTGTAACTAATTACTGTTGCCAGATAGTAATAAGTAAAGTAATAATATTACTTTTGAAAAGAGTAACGATTAATAAATTACATTTTTGGAGTAACTAGCCCAACACTGGTCATTTCTCTGCACACTAGTTTCAAACATGTTTCATGAACACATCCCTGTCTGCTATTGGTTGATCAAACCGATAATCCCGCCCACAACTCACACACTGGTTGATGCAGTTATACTGTATCAAAGACTATAGAATACCTTAAAGGGACTTTGACTGTATTACATTGTGCTATCCACCTAATTTTTAATGCAAGAGTGGATGCTTCCAGTGTCAGCCGCTTCCAGTTATTTTAGTTTACAAAAACAGTCCGTTAGGATATAAACTGCTCTTAGTTATTATATTATTATTTTTTGTCTGTTTGCTGCACTTTTTTTTTTTTTCTGGTTGTTTGCCTAACCCTATAGTGGTAATGAATCTGAAGTTTCGCACATTCACATGAAACAGCTTACTTCTCTGCACAGTTTTACGCATTTTAGGGATCAGTTTTATTGTAGTACAATTGAGATCGTATAGTTTTTGTTAATATTATGAATTAGATTTTATTTTCATATTTTCTACTTTTTAACTTTAGATACATTTTTTGTAATTTTGATGTTTTTGTCATTTTTATTAGTTCTTGTTTTTAAATGTCTATTTTTATTAATTTTTTAATTTTTAATTTTTGCTTTTAATGAGGCAATTTTAATGTATAATTATATTCATATAATTATATAATTAATATTCAGATTAACTGAAAGATCATGTAAGTTTTGCCTATAGCAAAACCCATTAACTTGGAAGTGAGAAAAATTGCTTTTTTTATTGATTTGATGTCAGTTTTCACTCTCTAGATTTATCTAGATCTATTAATCTAAATATTAAGATAAAGTTGTCTAGAGGCAGATTATCTCAGTTTTGCTTATAACCATTTTTTAAAAAATGTATAGTTATTGTGTTTTGCATTTGTAGACCATATATTTTATTTGGATCTCTCAAACTAAGATGCGTTTGCAAAATACAAGGTTCCCTTGTTAATCACTACCTATCAATCTTATTAAATTCTGCTAATCAGTTCTCACTATTTCTATGGACGTCATGGCAATGAGTCTAGTGGTTCACTGGAAGATGATCTGCTAAAAGATTAATAGCTTCATCTGATTTCCGCACAAAGCCAGCTGCCACCAACGATGTTGACAGGGGTGGGGGGAGACATTCAAAGAGTCATCTTGGAATTGATATGCTCTCCCAAGAATATAACTCCCTCCATATAAAGGCAGTACCATGTGAGGCCAGAATGCTGACTGCAGTGTAACTCACACCCAGGCTGCTGAAAGCTCCCCCTCACTGAGCAACGACCACATTCTTCCACATAAGATGCAGGCCTGGACAATGGTGCAACTTAACTGTAAAGTTGCATGCAACTGCTTGACCTTTATACCACAGCGGAAGTAAATCCCAGAACACTTTGGGAATTTGACACAGGTCGCTTACTTCAAACCACTTAAATGTTCTAAGGATTTGAATTAATATTGCTGGTGCCATTACATTCCTGCCTAGAGGCATATTATAATTAGTTAGGATATTTATTAACTAAATTTCTTTCTGCAGGATTTTTTCCCTATATTGTTCATTATTTTAAGCACCGCACCCCATGCAAATGCAATACAAATATGTAAGCATGGGTCATGGAATCTATAAAAAATAATCTCACCTTCCAACTGGTCCTGGTTGAAATCGACCTGCAGGGAAACAGAGGCACTTTTGATTCTATCCCACAAGTGAAACATTACAATATGCTTAACATATCAGTATGTTATGTCAATTCAAATATATGGATCAAAATGCCATGACAGCTTCGTTTGAATCTGCTTTATACTACATAGTGTAGTTATGTAAGTCAAAGAATATATACCGTGAATGGCAAATACAACTTTTGTAAAATAATAATAAGTAATGCAAATTAATTTTCCACAACATAAAACAGGGAGACTATGTGCATGGCCTGAAGATGCTGAATGATTTTCAGGACCTGAGAAAATCCATCACATCACTAACATCTTTATGACAGGTGAGTCATTCACAAACAGCTGCTTTAATAGAAAACTGAAGAGTAAGAGCCCCAGATCTTGGCATGCTTAATTTAGTTGCTCGGCTGCTTACAGAACAGTAAGGACCTCCATGTTTGGCCATGTGAACCTACTCCACTTTTGGCTATCTGGGCCAATCAGAAAAGGGGTGTTACGTCTGATTGTAGTTAAGCAGAAGAAAAGAAAACCCAACTTATCCTGAGCTATCCGTGGTGCTGAATCATCCGCCAATAATAGCTGCAGTCATCAGGCACAGAACAACTTTAGGCAACTGATTTGAGATTTAAGCCATTTAGCCAATATAATATGCTTGAAAGATCAGTAGGTTAAGTACATTCAAATATATGGCTCAAACTATTATGACAGCTCCATATGAATCTGTATTACATACATAGCGTCGTTAAACACATTATGAAAGCAATTATAAAGTGTAACGCAACCTTAATGCAGACATTTTCGTAAATAAGCAATACGACACGAGAGGCTTTAGAATACAAATATAATGAACTATAATGAACCTGACATGTGAATAATAACAGAGTATTATTCTGGTGCAGAGTTGGAATCATGTAGCCTACTAACCAATCAGCATTCAGGACCTAAACTATCCTTTTTTTTTTTTTTTTTAAATCTCATTCATAATTTAGTAAAAACTGCAAATCTTTAATATCAGCTAAACGAAAAAAAAAATTAAATCACTTTAAAGTCTGAGGAAAAATTCCATTAACTTTCACTGCACATCTATCTGTTTGAAGTCATGTATCACAGGAGTGGTCGTTACCTTCACGCCAGACAGATCTACTGCTGCGGGTTTAGGTGGGGCCTCGGGGGCAGGCGCGGGGGCAGGTGCGGGTTCTGCTTTCTTGGGAGGCTCGGGCTTCTTAGCGTCCTTCTTAGGTGCCATTTTTTTTTTAGTCTATTTGTCCGCCGGGAAGGAAGTCGACTCAACACAGGGAGTGGACCACAGCTTGGAGGATACTCAGCATTCTCAAGGTAAGTATAGATGTTTATATACGCGTATAATTTACTTCAGAGTTGATGTCAGACTGATGCACAAGCGGATTGGGTCGTTAGTTAGAGAGGGGAGGGCTCGCGCGCCTTAAATGGAGAAGGGGGCGAAGCGCGGGGACAGCCAAGGGTCGTAAACCTTATTTCAACTTCAGGGGGAGACAACAACCGGGGAATTTTCTTCAAGGTATTGATTGCATTTTTTACGCGTGCGCCGTTTCCTTGGAGACTTTTATGAAATATTTAAGAAGTGCCCGCAGTTTACAGATTGCTTTTTTTTTAAATTTTTTTTTTATAAACTGTAGTCATATTCCTATTGAGGTAAACGCGTAAACATGACTCTTCGTTCCCGTGAAGATGTAACCACTGCAATAGCGAGACGCTACAGCAGTTTTCGTTAGAATCATCATCTGGCGGAAGTTTGACAAAACAAACACTGTTATTAAGATGCAAAATTTCGCTGCCAAAAAAGTTCCATCGCCTGCTGTTAATAGTGTAGAGATGAAGCACAGTCCACACAGAAGTCGCTTTCAATATATACACTATATTTATTGCATTTAGATATTACAAATATATTCATAAATAGTGTTTACTTTGAATCTTGATGACTGATTGTGCCCTTTCTGTTGAAACAAAGTTTTATTTAAAAAACGGTCGAACCCTCTTAAAGTGTATAGTCTGCTGAATTATCCCTGTTCAGTTTGAATCAGTCTTTTTTTTTTTTAAACCTGAATAAAGCAAGTTCATTTAACTGTAACCACATGAGGCAGTTTTTAAGGATATTTGACAAAACCTTTTGTAGTGTACAAACTTGGTCTACCCCAAGATTAATAATTGAAACATCACATTTTTAATGACAAAATGCTTACATCCTCACAATAATGTTTCAAAGAATGGGGAACGGCAGCAGCTGATGGCTATAAATACCAGGACAGGTGGCTAGAATGTGACCATTTAAGATTCCTTAAGAATGTCTTATGGTATGTTGTCATTTCAGTGAAAATGAAATGACAAAAACCAAACAAGGAAGTTCTCTGCAAAGCATCATTGCTCGACTAATATAAATTATCTAAAATGTACAACTTTGATGAGAGTGAATGAAAGGTGGTTTCTTTGTTGATGCTAAAATATAAGATATAAACTATATGTCACGGTGCGTGTGGAGAGATGAAGCGAGAACTCAAGTGCAGGATGAATGGTTCTTTCTTTTAATAATAAAATGAAGAAAACCGCGACGGATCAGCACAGGATTACAGACACCAGGAGAATAAATAGGAAACCAAATGAGGAGGCTAGCGAGGGAGACACAGGTGGAGCAACTTAAACAATATTGAGGTAACAAGATGGGCGGGGCAAGACAATAGACAGGAGAGAGCACATGGCAACAAACAAACACAACGCAAGCCATGTGCTCACAGAACACAGTGTCCATCCTGGGCACACCCGCTGAAGACTGTGACACTATACTGTGTTTGATTAGGGTTGGAGCTAACCTCTGCAGGACACCGGCCCTCCAGGACCGAGTGTGGGCATCCCTGCACTATACTGTTTAAGTTTTAATTTCTTTCAATTTTTTGGTTGCTACATATTTCCCATTTACTTTAATTTTTGTGATAACATTGTTCTATTATATTGTGGATATTTTGATCTATTCTTCTCTACTTTATGTGATATTTTTGTTCCATTTTCCACTTTTATTCAAAAATATGGAAAATAGTAAAAACAAGAATAAATAGGTCCAAACTTTTAACTGGTGATGTAAATCCATTGTATGGGTGTGTCCAGATCACATATTTCAATCTATGTTGTCTGAATTTATTATAAATAAAAATAAAATGTAAATAATAATAATAATAATAATAATAATAAAATGGAAGTTTAAAAAAAATCCCATGCACTGAATGCAAACTATGTTTCATCAGACTTATCCACTACGTGCTCAAGCCCGGGGGTTTTCTCAGTTTTGGGTCATCTGAGCAGAGAGAGATGTTTGTCAAAGAGTGGAACTCTTCCAGCATCCAAATTTGTCAGTGTTCATCGTCATGTTATACGTAGAAGTGCGTGAGCAAAGTGCAGACAGTTTGAGAGATCAAACTGAAGTGAATGAACACTGATAGTGACAATGAGTAATTAAACGTCTTTGTTAATCTCAGCCTGGACTCTTGGGAAAGGGAGTTAGTGGAGTCTGGAGGTCTTGAGGAGACCTCAGCTGCTGATGCCCGTTACCCCACAGAACGCGCAGAGTGTGTTTTCTCTTTTCTCTCCCATCTAAATATGTCTTGCAGGCCCTTTGCACACCCCCAGAGGTGGGCCAGTAATGTAGAGACTGGAGATATTCATTCACCCTTCTCAACTCCCTGCTTTCCCTTTGGACCTGCTTTCTTTGACCCCCTTTCGGTTGTAGCCCCCCAGCTGTCATCAGGGCTCACCCCTGCCATCTAGAAGCACCTTCTCTAAAAGCCTACCCCCTCCCGTCCCATCCACTTGCCCACCAGAACCAACAACCCCCTCAGCTCTTAATAATTTTAGCAGCTAATTCACTTTTAGCCTACTTGGTTATTTAGTATGTTTGTTGGGGGTGGGGAGCCATTTAATGACTATTAAATTTGATGGAAGATGAAACTTCCATCAAGCATGCGTCAGGTTTGGTGTAAACAGAGATTTTTTTTGTATGATTTACTTGGGTCGATTTTTTTAATTTTTGGGTCGACTATCACTTTAAGGATGTGCAAATCTGTCACGAAAGTCATTCCTTTAGTTAAAACATGAACTGAAACATAGTAAGATGAAACAACATAGTGTAAACCAATAGCATAACCCCCTGTGACCCATTTTACATCATTCAATCATATGTTTTCAGTGAAGGTGTATCATGTGATCTGCAAAAGAATATCCTGTTTTCCACAGCAACCCGAGATAGAGCTTTCCAAACATCAGTGTCGCATCAATATAAAACCCCTGCATCATCATAAACATGCTACTCCAACTCAGATATAAAAACATCCCCATCTGACTCTCCTCAGACTACACAAGTTATACTAATGAGGTAAGCGAGTTTACGCCTATCATAAAGTTAAAACCCAGCAGGGTGTCATGTCAAAGTGACACACATCTCCAGAATAATTAATTATCTTTTCAAGACCGCAACAGGGAAGACGTGCCAACCGTGGCTGAGGAAATTACCATGTTTTTCTTTAATAGCATACGTTTTCTAGCTGCTAAATAACATGCTGCTTATTTAGTTTGAAAGATTTTTGCAAAAAAATGCAAAAACTTAGCACTTGGAGTCATTTTTCAAGTAGTATCAAGTCGTATCCATGGCTAAAAAGACACAAAAAGTGAAACTTATTAGTACAGAGTGTCTTTCCTGTGTCTAAATCTATTGAAAAGCTATTTGAGGCATTAGTCATGGGTGTCTTATAACATTAAGAGACAGTGTTTTCAAGAACAGCTCCCCTAGTTGCTTTTAAAAAATATGCTTCTTCCCACAACCCACTTCTCTCCTAGACAAAGCCTCATAAATTACAGTACCTTCTCACAAGAATATTTCAGAGACATCGTGTAATAGAATTTACGTGCAATATCTAAATGCAATATGTAAATAATTTTAAATAATAAATATGTAAATAAAAACATTAATGTATCATCTGTAAAAAAACGGCACATTCTGATTGTATGTTATCTTGTATTTGCGTCACTCTGCCTATTTTGTTAATCTGTGTTTAAATGACGTACTGGTCTACAGTATCAGCTGACAGTATATACTGTAGGTAATTGGTTCAGAGATGAAGCTGTCACTTCCTGTCTAGATCAGGAAAAAGTCTAATATTCTCATGATGTCATGTTGAATGTGACTCAATGTGACACAAAATTATAATTAACTATAAGCCCATCAAAAATTCCTCTGACAACTTAAAGTTAAGTACAGCTGAGCTTGGGCCTTTAACTTTCCCCTGAAAAGCACTTTTGGCCTTCAACAATGTATGACCAGATATATTTTATATACCGCTGATAGACACAAGTATGCATTTGTGGACATTTTCTCAAATCCTACATATAAAAAATAGTGTGAAAATGTATTTAGCTTAGTTTATGACTTAAGAATTAAAGAGATATTGAAGCACAAACTGCATTCTGGTGCACAAACGTGGTGCTGCTGTCTTAAGAATAGAGCAGGAAGTGAGAGCGTTATTTTCAGATAACCGTCCTTAAGGCAGAGCAATAGAAGTGTTCTGACTTAGAGGTCACAGATTCTGCATAGTTCAGACCTCAGTTGTTCTGATGTGAGCCCCCCATAACTAACAGTGCCACTCACCCTCCTGGACTCCTTACTAATTCCATAAGGAATGGGATTGTAACTTAGCCCCTGGACAGATGGGCCCTATTTATAGCCCTTCCTGAAGAGGTGCGAAGTTTTCTTGGGACCTCTCTGAGGGGGGGCCACAACTCCTTTAGGGGTTCGATTCAGTGCCACCTGCCTATCCCTTAAAGCCATCTCAGACAGATTATAAGGGGTAAAGCTAAACAAAGCAGCACACAGCCTTGGAAAGTGGCTGTAACTCACAGTGAGGGTCTCCAAGCAGCCCGTACTGTAAAAGAATACCTATTATAGTTCCTTGGAATTGCTGAAGTCACGAACACACGTCAATAAAGAGGCCTGCTCATCACTCCTGGTTCAAGTGTTGAGATGGAATGAAATACAAAGTAATCATTTGCATATCCTGGAGGCTGCTAGAATGTTCTAGTGCTGCATTAGATATGAGATGTGGATAAACTCTTTAGCATGATGGAAGAAAAAAAGAAATCTAAATAACTGAATAAGAAATAAATACAAACTATTTATTAATTATATATAAGAGTTTCTGAAATTGAATCTTCTGAAATGGCTATATTAATTTTTATATATTCATTATAATGAATATTATTGTTATTATTATTCTTATTCTTATTATTGTTTATATTAATTAATTAAAACTTAACATGCGTCATTTAAGTTGTTGCTTGGTAATTA